CACCCAAAAGGACCTCTGTTCTCAAGGATTTGAGAGCCAAGATAAGAATTCCTATATATATTAATATATTGCTAGCAGAAGGAGCCTTGAAAGAATGAACGTCTCATGTTGGCTAAAAGACAAAATGACAATTATATACAATCTATCTAATAAAGTCACTCCGAGGAAGGTATTATCACTCAACGATTCTTTGTCTTTTTAAACTCCCAAGGAAAGTTTTCTGTAATGAGATATATAACTATATAAACGTTTTTGTTTATGTGGCTGTCATCATAACTGCCAGTAACCCCACCACTACAGAACAACAGTCATGCCACATACATTTTTAAAGTTGTCTGAAAAGCAAAAAAGCAAATCAACTTGTAGTAAGTTTTTAAAAATTAAAACAAAAAATTTCTTTAATAAAGCTATTGATGACTGGGTGCAGTGGCTAATGCCTATAATCCCAGCACTTTGGGAGGGTGAGAACACCTGAGGTCAGGAGTTTGATACCAGCCTGGCCAACATGATGAAACCCCTATCTCTACTAAAAATGCAAAAATTAGCCAGGTATTGTGGTGCACACCTGTAATCCAAGCTACTCGGGAGGCTGAGGCAGGAGAATTACTTGAACCCAGGAGGCAGAGGTCGCAATGAGCAAGATCATGCCACTGCACTCCAGCCTGGGCAACACAGGGAGCTGAAAAAAAAGCTACTGATTATACCAGATAGTGAAACAAGATAATAAATGACAAATTTCTAGCTATATAGTAAATTTTTCAAAGGCTTGAGAGAAAGTCAACTTTATTTAATGGGACAATTCAAGTAGTAACAATCTTTAGCAATCCTGTATGGTAACTTATAACTGATAGATATTTCCGGATCACTAGCAAAAGAATGCTTCTTTAATCTATGACATTCCTACAATAGGTAGGATCTGCTTCCAAATAAAATGTGCTTCAGCCTTGTCCGTGATGAGATTCTAGCTGATTAGACGTGAGAATGCCTATACTACATGCAATTTTTTAAATTACTAAAGAAATATTCATGGTTCTAGAATCTCTATGGACAAGAGACTCCACAACTAGAAAATTTAAGTGAAGTAGAATGCTTAAGAGTTAAGACTGGTTCTTCCTAGGTTATCATGAATGTTCCTTTTCAGGCAAATATGAAAACATGGGGCCATGCTCTGGGTGGATTGAGGTGACAGTATGACACCTGTCAAAGAACATTGCCTATTTTAAGGCAATGTCACTGCTTAATTCAGTAACCTGGAGGCTTTGCCTCCTTGTCTCAGAGACATTACAGGCATCAATTCAATTAGTCAACACATCTTCAGAACATTTCATGTTAGCCTTTTAAATCGGATGTACCACATGTAATAGGCCCCAATTGCTAACATAAACTATCCAATATTTTTCTGCTCATTATTGATGGTTCATGGCTACTTTCTCCTTCTCCTGTTGCAACATGCATCAGCCAGCAGCTCTGAAACCCTTAGACAAGGAAGGGGAATCACAAGACTGAATTTCTATAATTAAAGTATCCTGGCTCCAGAGAGAACTTTGATGCTCTAGTACCAAATTCAGATCTTTACATGCTTCTGCACAACTGTCCTGACAGATGAGTCAACAGATAATTTTAAAAACAGTATAAACTCATGTAGATCAACATGCAGTATGAACATCACATCTCCACAGATGAAACTTCATCGTCAAGGAGGACCAGCCACAGTGGTGAAAATCTGGACAGCCATGGTGGTCTCTCCTGCAGCTCTGGCTGAATGAGGACCAAGAAAGGCAGACTGAGAAGGCAATGTTCCCACACACTTAGGAAAAGAATGAGTGCTCTTTAGCCCAGAACGAGTTTTAAACTTACTCTATTGATCAAGGGCAGCCCATCTCAATCAAGATATTTTTGAAATTTTGTTATCTTAAGATTTGTCACCAAGTATGTTCCTGTATAAGGTTGTAGGGCTAAGGTGTTTGTATCAAGTCACTACATCTTTGATTAAGAGATTCTACCGTCAGGTAATTGTCTTAGATCTGTGTATAAGGCGTCAAACCTCTTGTCACACAGTGTACTGTTTAGGAAATGGCGTCATGGTGTTCATCTATCTATCCTACTGCTGCTTGCTTTGCTTTTGCTGCTGTCTGTCTATATGCACGGAGCCTTTTTGCATAAGTTGCTCTCCTGGGTGTAGGTCTGCTGCAGGGATCATATGGGAGTCAAAAGTTAAGCCTGTACAGTCTGTATATGCATTGCTTTGGTACCATTGGTGGCCTGTAATTTTGAGAGTCAGAGCATTATTAATTTTGTCTGTTATATAGAGAATGAATAAGAATGGGAGGGCAATTAGGGTTAGAATAAAAGAAGGTGAAGTAGTTCACACTGTCTCTACCTCCTGGGTGTCTATAGCACCTGTGTAGATTATTGGTGTTAGCCCTGAGTTCTGAAAGGCCACCAAGGATGGACTCACTCCAGTAAATACCCATTGGAGGAACAACAAATCAACAACAGCATCTCACACAGAGGATGTCATCTACCCAACACTCAACAATCCACCAATCCCTAAGGCCCCATACCTCCCAAAAGTGCTGTTTCAGGTCTTCCCACATTCTGCTCTGCTCAGGGAAATCGTGCCTGGACAGCACAGCCCCAGCTCACTCTAGTAAGCAAGGCATTTTTCTTTTGTCATTTTATTTCAGATCTCTAGCAGTGGCTTCCTCATCCTTTGACAAGGGCAAGGCTTATCTGTCTTGTGGTTGCCAGATCCCAGCTCAATGTCTGACCTGGGTTAGGGTTTCATGGCATGTAATTAAATAAAACTCGGCAGAGAAAGAAATGAGAGAGAAGTGTTGTGGTTTCCCTAGGTAACAGCTAGCTGGTGGTAGAACTGCGTTTAGAGACTCTGACGCCCACTCCCACTACACAGAGCAATCAGGTGGCCTGGTTTATAATTAACCCTCCAACATAAGGACAGAGGCAGCCCCACATTATATTTAGAGAACTGGATTATTTAGAGGCCTTGCCAAGCCAAGGGACCCATTTTCAAAACTAACCAGGCAGGGGGGTTGAGGGAGAGAGAAAAGAAGAGAGAGAGAGAGAGAGAGAGAGAGAGAGAGAGAGAGAGAGTGTGTGTGTGTGTGTGTGTGTGTGTATCTATATAAAAAGCACAAAGATGCTATAATGCTTTGCTTCTGCTATCACTGAAGCAGAGAAATGAGAGTGCCCCTCATCCTTTTACAACAAGCCTTGGGTTAGAATTGTAATTAACTTTCTCCTTCTAAAGCTGTGTTTGGGGTTGACTGTAAATCATATTTGCCTGGATAAACATCAGGGGAGAGGACAATTTATAAAAGGAGGGCCCTTGGGGGTGACTGTCTTCTTATTCCTGGCTTGGAATTTGAGTGGACGTTCATATGCATGGAACACAGCTTCAGGTAGTTTGATGGAAGCTTCAGTGTTCTTACCCAACAGCACTCTTTGTTCTGCTTAGAAATTGAATAGATCAGAGTTTCCCAAATTCAGTACGATTGACATTTTGGTCTGAATAATCCTCTGTTGAGGGGCTGTCCTATGCATTGTACAATATTTAGCAGCATTCCTGACCTCTCTATACTACATGCCATTAGCATCCCATCCTCAAGTCTTGATTAACCAGACTGTCTCCAGACAGCCCAAATGTTTCCTCGGGGGCAATATCACCCTTCGCTGAGAAGTGCCGACATAGATAAAAGGACAGGTAGCCTCTGACCCCTTGTTTTCTTCTTTCCTCTAGGATGATGCTGTCTCCCCTTTTTCCCTAGCTACACCTGTGGTCCCTGTAAGCTTGACTGACTGGGGATGGTTAGAATTAGCTACTGACTCTAGAAAGCACTTGCAGAGCCCAGGGTGGGTGCCCATCTCCCTCCCTAGACCAAAGTCTTCATGGGCAAAGACAACATCTCTATCATTCTCTTACCTCTTGCACCAAGCCTATAGTACGCACTCCATATGTTTAATTGGATTACATTCTTGTTCCAGAGACAACTACAGAAAATGGGGACTGTGTAGACTCCTGGTCTAACCTAAATGTGTAAATTAGATTCAAAGAATCATCCTTGGTAATAAGGGGGGCGTGGTCTTCAGAACTGTGAGTCATAGGGTCAGATTATTAAGAGTCAACAAAAAGCAGGAGTGGGAGAAGGAGAAAAGCTCCCTTGCTGTTGCCGTAGTGATTGTCATGCAATAAATGCCTCTTGCAGAGAACTGGGGAATTCTCTTTCCTGAATTTTTAATTTCCTTCTGCAGCCTTACTCACTTTCAGGAAGGTTCTCAGTCACACCTACAACCTAATAGGGCTGTGGGGGAAAGATCCAGAAAGTAACACCCCAAGGCAGTGGAAGCAGATGACAAATGCAGGCTCTGGGACTAATGCAGACCACATCTTCCATCTGCGTCAGGATGGGAGGATGCCACAGGACAGTAACCTACGTGATACCATACTTTTAATAAATCAGTTGCTGTGATTTGCAAAGCAAAAAAATAGACTAGGATGAAACACTAACCTGCATTGCCTGACACATGGCAGTCTTATCAAATCATGCTCCCACACCTGGAGCCCCCCCTCCTGGAACACCCTCATTCGAAGTGCAAGAAGCTGTTGATTTTCCCAGTGTACTGAACCAGCATACACCAGATACTAGCTTATCCAGATGTTCTAAAGGGTGTTATAGAGCCATAGAATTTGGGGGCCTAAGGGGACCCTGTAGAGTGATGCCATTGGAATTCCTCATGTTCTGTATATTTAACAAATAACCCGCGAGAGAAGGAAAACAGCGTGATTCGCTCTGCGAGAGGGAACACGTCAGGGCAAAGAACACCTCTGATGCCTTCTTCCACTCTCCCAGTGTACTCCCCCTACTCCCAAACCCAAAAAGTTCCACTTTCTACAAGTGCGGGGGGTAGGGCAGGTGGCCTGAAAATACAGCCTGTACAAATGCAAGTCGAGTATTTTTAAGGATTGCTGCAATACCCACCTCCACAGCTTCGGATACGGGTGAGACGCTATTGGTTTTCCTGGAGCCCACGCGGAGCTTGGTAGCCTTGTAGATCTTCCAGTACACGAAGAGCACCACGCAGAGCGGCAGGTAGAAGGCGCCCACGGTGGAGAACACGGCGTAGGAAGGCTCACGGCTGACCTGACACTCCTCGCTGCCCTCAGAGTAAGTCTCTCCCCAGCCAAAAAGCAGCGGGGCCAGAGAGATGACAGCGGACAGCGCCCAGGTGAGCGCGATCATGACGTTGGAGACGCACTTGCGGGTACGGAGCGTGTATTCCAAGTGGCGTGTGATGGACCAGTAGCGGTCCAGCGCGATGGCCGTCACGTTCCAGATGCTGGCCGTGCAGCAGAGCACGTCACACGCGATCCACAGCTGGCACAGCCGCCGGCCCAGCTGCCAGCGGCGCCCGGACAGCTCATGCACCAGGCTCAGCGGCATGACCAGCGCGGCCACCAGGACGTCCGAGATGGCCATGGACGCCACCAGGTTGTGGGGCACGCGGTGGAAGGTGCGCACACGGAGGATGGTCGCCAGCACCAGCAGGTTCCAGGCGAACGTCGCTGCCACCAGAAAGCCCAGCAAGGTGAGAATAAGCACTCCGAAGACTGAGCGCAGGGGCGGGCTGGGGCGCAGATCATCTTTGCCGAGGCTGCGGTTGGTCTCCAAAGGGAAAGGGGTGGAGAGGGAAAAGGAGGTTAGGTTCACAGGTAAATCCATCTCTGGGTCAGGAGACCGGCCTGGGGCGCTTGCAGGAAGGGTATTCAGGAGACTTAAGGTGCCCACTGCGCCCAGAGCCAACCTGGATGTTTGCAACCTCTGGGCAGTGGTGGGATTTCTGGAAAGTGCCTGTGAATTTGGCCCCAATCTCCTGCTAGTGAGCATCCGTGGGAGACGGCGTGGCTGCAAGTGCGGCAGGTCTGAATCCCTGAGAGGCTAAGGAAGCAGAGGCGAGGGGCTGCGTCTCCAGCCAGGGCCCGCCTAAGCTGTCAGGAGCCCCGGGCTCCTTGCCTTGGTGGAAAAGGCTGTCTGGCTGCCCAGAAACGAGTATCTCCCCGATGGGGGAGAAGCAGGGCGGCCCGCAGCGTGTGGGTGCGGGAGAGGGGCTGGTGCGTCAGAGCAGTCGCTCTCGCCGCTTTGCCTCCCTGCCCACCCTTCTCTCTAGGCAGCAGGCTGCAGCTTTAACTCCGTGCTAGGGAAGCCAATCTGGGGGGAGACCTGCTTTCTGGAACCTGCCTTCTGTCCCGGTTGTCCCCGCCACCCTGTCTGAGGCTGCGTCTCCGCAGAGCGAATGCTGTCGCACCCACCGAGACCTGCCTTATCCAAGTTGAGATCTAGCCCTACGTAAGCCATCAGCTGATAAGGCCTCCTCTCCCCTCCTCCTGGCTTGGAGCGCGCGGCTTTGCTGCTGCGCTCCTGTGCCCCCCTCGCCGGGCGGCACCCAGCGCGCGCCCCCTCGCGCGGTGCTGTCCGCGGTGCTGCCGCCTCACCCTGCCCGGATGCAGGAGGGTTGGCGCTGTCCACGGTGCTGTCGCCCTTGCCTGAAACGGGTTCCCACGTGGAACAAGTTGACCAATGAACTTTCCGCGAAACGTTCCCCTAGCCACCCACACGCATCCCTCTAGGGGTGGTCTGGAGTCTTTGAACACTGCTTTCTCAGCTTTCCATAAGTATCTGCTGTTCCTATAAGAGCTCCGAGTTAGGGGTCTAAGATCGTTTCACTAACTTTTGTTCTCCAGAAGATTTCAGCACATGATTGCTTTCTTCTTACCCAGCTCTCAGTTGCTTCCCTTAAGGGTTGTTTTCCTTAAAGGAGGAGAGGCTCTGAGATAGAAGGTGCTGCTGTTCCTAGAGATGGCTAAGGTGTTGGAGCTAGAATGCTTCACCTGGCTCCAACAGGAATGACTGAAGAATGCTTTACCTCCTCAGAGTCATAAGGCAGGCTGTGTAGTCCCCAGTGGTTCCTACTAAATTTGCTCCCTAAGAAGGAAAAATTGGGATACAAATTATTATAAGAGCTCCATCTCACACAAAAGAAAGTGGGAATGTAACTCTCCCCTCACACATGAACACAAATCCCACAAACACATCCATATAAATTGAGAAAATATCAAAAGCTTCCAACAAGAATTTAATATTTAAAGCACCTTATAAAGAGACACATAAAAAAAGAGCAATATAAAAGAAGCTAAAATTTTACAGCAAACCACCGTGGTACGTGTATACCTATGTAACAAACCTGCACGTTCTTCACATGTACCCCAGCACTTAAAGTATAATAATAAAAAATAAGTAAAAAGAAAATTTTTAAATGGCATGACAGAAATGACATCAATGAAAGTAAGGTGGTAATAAGCTTTGTTTTTAAGTATATAAAATGAGTGTCATGAAAGTAAAATGAGTGTATTTACAAGTAAATTTGATCAGAAATATTTTAGCTATTTAAAAGTTAGCAACATGTTTTGGTATAAGATTTTGTTTCTTGCAGAGTAAAACAAGTATCAGGAGAATGCACTGAGAAGAGAGAAACTCCTCCACTGGAACCCAGAGGAGAGGATAAAATCATTAAATACAGGATTATTCACAGGACTGTTTCAGACACCACTTAAAAACAGCTGATGGTGACTGCCTGCATGCAGCGACTGTGCAGGGCCCCAATCAAGAAGCAAGCTTGTGCTTGTTTAGGGTACATTACCTTCTTTAGGTCATGGAACTAATTGGAATGAGATGTAAACTATGAATTGTATTCTTTGAAAGAAGTTCTGCATCTAGACCTGGAGGAATGGATGAGCTGTGTTCCCCACAGGCAGGGTGCGATGGACCTCTTCATATAAATCTTGAAAGGCATTGTGGGCTTGCAATTATATTCCCTACTGACTCCCCAGGCCACAGCTGTCTGTATTGATAGTCAAGTGATCAACAGAACAGTCTAACAGAGACAAAGCCAAGGACAACTGAGGATAATTTGTTAAAATTGGAGTGCCATAAAGTAAGGGACTGAATAGAATATTCCCACAAAGGAGAGAGCCAATGGAGCATTTCCAGAAGGGACAAACCCTGTTGAGAAAGTCTGGTTTATCTCAAAAATGCACAAATGAAAAATAATAATATTTCAGTTTTATCTTAAAGCATAGCCCCAATTTTATCTTGAAAAGATAAAATTTTATCACTGAAAAGAAAAAAATCTGAAAAGGTATAAAACTCCCATCTGCCACACGGTACCTCTGAAATGGCAGCATTGGGAAATATAATTTCCTGGGTTGTCATCTGTTGGGTTAAATTGTTTCTCTTCTTCCTCCCTTACACCTGCCAGATTTATAAATGGAGGTCCTAACCCCTAGAACCTCATAGTGTGACTATATTTGGAAATAAGGTCTTTAAAGAGATGATTAAGTTAAAATGAGGCCGTAGATAGGACCTCATTCAATCTGACTGATATCCTTATGAAAAGAGGAAATTTAGACATACAAAGAGACACTAGGGATGTGTGTGCATAGGATAGACCACATGAGAATAAAGTTTGAAGGTGGCCATCTGCAAGGCAAGGAGAGAGACGTCAGAAGATACCAGCCCAGCCAACATTTTGATTTTGGATTTCCAGCTGCCAGAACTATGAACAAATAAATTTCTAGTGTAAGTCACTCAGTCTGTGGTATTTTGTTATGGCAACCCTAGAAAGCTAATATACCATTTGACAAAAGATACAACCACATAACTGAACAAAGTGCTATACTGGGGGCAGAGGAAATTACAGACATATCAACAAATCATGGGATGTCTACTAAAAGCTTTCCTTTACAAAATGTAATTTGCAGCCATCTAAGAATCATTTAGAGTGAAGACTGGGTTGTCTATTAAGGTTACTTACACTTTGTAATCAAGTCATGTCATTCGCATGTAGAAAAATGCTTATTTTAGATTTTCTATAATGGGAAGGTATTAATCTATTTCATGCAAGTAAGAGCTGCTCATTTGTTATTTTTACTTTTGTTTTTTGAGACAGAGTTTCTCTCTGTCACCCAGGCTGGAGTGCATTGGCGCGATCTTGGCTTACTGCAATCTCTACCTTGTGGGTTCAAGCAATTCCTGGGTATTTTTTTTTTGTATTTTTAGTAGACATGAGCTTTCACCATGTTGACAAGGCTGGTCTCGAACTCCTGATCTCAAGTGATCCACCCCCCTCTGCCTCCCAAAGTGTTGGGAATAGAGGCCTAAGCCACTGCACACAGCCAAGACTAATGATTTTTAATCTAACAGGGTATAAAACATGCATGATACGATTTCAGATTCCACATCAAAACAACCTTTAAGGTGCTACCACTGACTTCACAGAAAAAATATCCATAATTATCTGAAGAGTATTAAAATACTCTCTTTTCAGTTGTATATCTATATGGAAGCGGATGTGCTTCACAATCTTAAACCAAAATAACATAACAGATGGAACAGAGAAACATATGATGTTCTAGCTGTCGTGAAGAGATTTGCAAAAATGTTAAACAATGCCATTCACAAGTATTTTTTGGAAAATAGTTATTTTTCATAATGAGGTGTCATTTATGTAAACATGTAATGGATTTATTTTATTTTTAATAAATACTCAAATATGTGGAAAATGTCTCCAGTTTGTTTTCCAGAATATATTAATATATCTATAACCCATGTAAACAAAAGCTCTTTGGGGTACTTGATTTTAAAGACTATGCAGGGGACCTGAGGCCACCATGTTTGAACACTGCTGTCACCAGAACATCGTGCTAGTACACCATGTCGATGTGGGATGTTCATGAGACAAGACAAGCAAGAAAAGAAGTCTCAAGTTTACTAGAGACCTCTGTAAAATACGTGTGCTCTAAACTATGAGAAATAATTTTGTCTTTGAAGAAACAGACGCCCACTGCATCATGGAAGATGTCAGGGCTTCAGTGCCCTGGAGCATGACAGGGCATTCCTTTCATTATAAAAATATACATGTTGCACCTGGTACCTCCCCCTGCTGGAAAGGAAACCTCAGGCTTGGTCAGCCCTTTGAATGCCAGAGGCAGCTGCTCTGACTCACATCCTGGTGACGTGGAAAGGCTGCCAGGTTTGGTTGGCGCTAAAAGCAGGAAACAGCTATAGGAGAAGTCCTAGCTGCAGTGAAAACAGCCTACTGCTGGGGCTTTACAACTTGCAAACCTTACGTTACTTGGAGTACCTGTAATGGGAAAAACGCCATGACGATTTGATGACAAACACCAGTAAAAGAGTCACAATATAGACCCTGAGGGTTCTGGAGCTAAGTCACCTCATCTACAACAGGAAACATTACACTGTTGGGAAAGCAGTTTGTGTGAGCCGGGGCTCCGGCAAAAATAGAGCATCTGAGCATGAGACATTAAGTGACACTTGAGCAAACTATAACCATCGTGATGTGGAATTGTGCAGACTCACACACAAGACTGGGTGGACTCAGCAGCAAAATAGCATAAGACGAAGTGGTGCAGGGCAGAGCTGCATGGAGGGCACAAGCCAGCTCCACAAGAGGTGGCTGAGACCACCCTGCCATCTGTCATCACTGTGCAAGCGCCTACCCTTCAGCTCAAAGCCCTGGCTGCATGGCCCGCTAATGGGATACCTGCAGGGCCAAGGGGGATTCAAAGATGGGTCATCCTGCTGCATTGGTGCAAGTCAGAAAGAAGACTCCTGCTGTCTCACGGCTCAACTCTGGGTGGCCTTGGCGACAGCAGTCAGGGGACATCCTTCCAAGGAGCAGAGAGCTCCAGGTACCGCACCTGATCTTCCATTTTGTGTGAAAAAAGCTGTGGCCTGAAGCAAGACTGGATACAGACCCATGAGCAGTGGCTAAAGGCCCAGAAGGTGAACAATGGGAAGGAAGGAGGTCTGTGAAAGAGGCATGTAGATGAACCAACGGGAATAAGGACAAAGTGTGAATATCTTTTTATCACTTTTCACATCCTCCAGAGAGCATCCACTGCAGATTAGAACACAGGCAACAGGATGGCTCAGCCCACCGATGACAACCTGTCACTTGTCCACCCCAGTTCAGCACAGTAGTTGAGTGGAGTAACCATGGCAGCAGGGAGGGAAGCCGTGCATGGCTGAAGCCGTGTGGTGTCTCTCAGCAAGCCTGGTCTAGTTACTGCTGCCTAACATCCAACCTGCCAGTCATAGAGACCAATGCTGAACTCCCAAATTGGCACATCCCCTAAGGACATCACCAGCCACCTTGAAGGGTAGCTATTCATCAGCAGGGATGGATCTGCCCCTCCTGCCTGCAGGGTCTCAGGCAGATCACTCTCCAAGGACCTCTGTAAGTTTCCATCTTCTGATACAGGATTGCATTTAGCATCCTTGAAACCAGCGGCCCCACTTTACAGCAATGAGCACGTGGCCTCGGGTCCCACACAGACCACTTGTTGCAAGTTGAGCATTTCTCCCGACTGAGAAAAAAGAAGTGTTGAAGTCCCCACCCCTGGTATCCATAAATGTGACCTTCTTTGGAAATAGGGTCTTGGCTAAAGTTAAGATTGTTCTGGATG